ATTATATTATTATTATTATGACTTTTATTTAACAAATCTATATATTAAAATAATTTTAATAATTTTTATTATTTTTAATTTGTAATGTAACTAAAATTAATTATTTTTTTTAAAAAAATTTTAATAATATATTATAAAAACTTTATTAAGTAAACTTGTTTTTTATATTTTTAAATATTAATATAGATTTTTATCTTAGTTTATCAATTAGTTATATAAATATTACAAAAATAAAAATTGATATAAAGTACAAGTTTTTTTGACACTGACTATATAATAATATATTAAATTATAAATAAATTCAAAACTATTTTTATTTATTGTAAAATTCATGGTAAAAAAAAATTTTAATAAGAAAATTATAAAAAAAATATTTTTTATTATTTTTTTAGAGATTTAAAGTTTGAAAAAAAATTTTTTTAAATATTTAAATTTTAATAATATTATTTTTATTTTATTATAATTGTTTTTTAATATATAACTTTATTAAAAGTTTTTTAAAAAATTTTTTTATTTGAATTATACTTTTAATTTTTGATTACACCAGAATTTTTATATAAAAAATGATTAAAATTTTTAAATTAATTAATTTTTTAATAGCAAAAATATAAATAAAATATTTTTTCATGTTTTTTTCATGTGTAATATGATATAATTTAATTATTTAATTAAAATTGAATAATTTTCAATTAAAATAATAAATTAAAAACATAATTTTTTTAAATATAATTTGAGATTCTGTTTTAATATATCAAATATTTAAAAAAATATTAAATTTAAATTAATATATTGAAAACAGACAGAAAAAAAATATTTTATTTTATTTTAATTAAAAATTTAAAAAGTTTACTTATTTATTTAAAAAAATAAATAAAGAAAATATGTTTAAAATTAAATATTGATTAAATAAAGCAATGATTTTAAAAGGTCCTGACTTAAGAAAAAAATTGTTAATAAAAAACCAATATTTTTTTAATCAAAAAATTTTAAACATAATAATAATAAAGTATAGAAATTATAAAATCTAAATTGTTAATTACTTTATATGTATTTTTATTAAATATAATTGAAGCAGAAATTATTTTTTGAAAACTAATTTGATTGATTTGGAAATATTATTAGAACTATTATAAATATTGAAAAGTTTTTGTTAAATATATTTCTTGTATATTTTATAAATTTTTGAAAAGAAGAATTTAAGAAAAATTAAAACCGTAATATAAAAGTTGAACAATTTGTCGATATTTAAGTAATACAAATTTGAAGATCCAAAGAAGACTATAAAGAATACTTTGTCAATAATAATAATAATTTTTTTTTTAATAATCTTTGTAATATAATCTAAGTTATTAGCTTTACAATATAGTTAAGGTAAAATTCTTTTCAATTTTTTTGTATTATAATTGATATTATCTTTAATAAATTCTTTTCTTGCAAAGGTTCTGAATAAGTCATGATTCCTATATTTAATTTTTTAAAAATGTGCCTTGAGAAAATATTCTGGAAGAACTCTAAGCTTATATTTAATTTTTTTTAAAAAGTTAATGATGAATCTGACAAATCTTTTATATTGCTTAAGTTTTTTGCAAAGTTCTATTATTTTGTCTTACTCACTTGAAGGTGGGATATTTTTTATATTAGTTGAGAAACAAGAGATGCAACTGTGAGTTGTATCTAGCAATTGGTTAATTTCATCAAGGAAGTTGGAGGGATTCAAAATCTCAATTGATTGGATGCTCGTCAATTTCCATGTTACTGTAGTAGCAAACATATAACTCGTGGACATGAAAATACATTTGACTTAATGAAGAAGACGTTGCCGTCACCTTATCCATCACCAACTTATGAAGTGTTATCAATTCTAAGTACGAGTCATCGTGAATCCTCCGTTGGTCAAAGGGATCATTCCACGTTGCCCACCCTGAAGAGTTCCTAGTAGAAGGGACGAGATAACGCAAATAATGTCGTTGGGCACAGCTCCGCTGATGTAAATGATGCATGTGGTACTATAGATAATTCAACAGATGAACTTGCATCTGATTTGCCCTAACCCGAAGAATGTCTGCATCGCAAGTGACAGTGATGCTAGCATTCCCGATGTAGGAAGGAATAGTCAATCACTGAAATCTATAAATGAGGAGAGTTAAATTTCGTTTAAAAAATAAAGTTCTACCATTACTACACCGACAACGAATGTAGTGAGTTATTCGTGATTTAACGGCAATATAACTAAAGAAAAATATCACGATCATCATGGGTTAAATAAAGATTTTCGTGTGTAAATATATATATCAATCGCAAATTATTACAGTATTATTTTTATTTTTCTTGGCAAAAGTGATCTCTTTCAATTTAGAAAAAAACCAAAAGATAATTGATAGAGGGAAATCTTCCAATCTAAAAAAGCACTGATTTATCAAAATCTACCACGATTTCTCCCGAAAAACCTCGACAAATGACATGGATTTCTTCAAACTGTATCACAAGAATAGCATTTCCGAATCGCGCAATGAAAGCACAAATCAAGGAGTCCTTAAAAGTACTATGACTTTGGGGAAGCACTATCGTTATGCTTTGATTATTACAAAAAACAATCATATTAAGATATAGCGAGCAGGGCACTTGTGAATGATGAGGTTCGGATTCGTCTCTCACGAAAGAAGCATTTCGAAAAAGAACGGAGAGAGCGAGAAAAACATATAGTTTGTTTTAGTAGTCTCGCGAAATGTGATAAGGGTAAGGAAAGAATCGATTGGGTTAGACTTTTTCCGCATCGGCAATTGCAAGACTAAATCAAATACGTTGTGGCAAATATAGTAACTATAATACTGCGCCTGTGACATCGGGTCACGCTCCTGGAACATTTGTCATATACGAAACATAATACTGTAAAATGATGGTTAATATCAAAACTTGTACCTGTACCTGCATCCAACCAATATGGAAAATTACTTAAACGAAGAATCAAACTCTGTTTATGATTATCACCATGTTTCGCGTAGCATCTCAAGAAGTATGTGAATTTCCTATTTTGCTTTAAAGGCAGGATTGTGTTGTTTATTATTTGTCGAAAAATAGCCACGTCTAGTGCAACGGAAGTTTCTACTTCTGTTAGTCGTTCGGTGGGGGACGTCAACTGGTACCGCCAGCTTTGGTGGAATACTGGTAACTTTCATCACAAAGCCGATATTCTATAGTGGCTGATATCAGTTATTATTTGTTGCCAAGTCTACCATACGTGCTCAAGACTGGTATCACCTTGGACGAATATATTTTTCAA